ACACAGGTCATCAGCATATAGGGCGTGGGGGAGGGACTGCTTGTTGTGGGGACAGGAGAGGGAGGTTTGTGAGGGAGGTTTTTGAGAGAAGTCCGGTGGGCCATATTGGAACACATTTTAAAAACAGTGAGTGAGGTTCCGTGGGGCATGCATTTCAGAAGAGGGGGACCCGTGTGAGAGGGAAGCCAAGTGACATAGCTACCTGATCACCGGAGTATGGCAGCTCCCTGCTCTCAACCCTCAGGTGGCTCCCAGTCCTTTGAAGAACAAGTCTAAGGGTGAAAAAAAGAGTGAAAGCTACTTAACTGAGCCCTCTGACTTAATCAGGTTGACTTTAGGCTAATTTGTGGCAGAGATAGTGAGAGAGGGAGGGAGGGAGGGAGGGGAGGGGAAGGAAGGAGAGAGGAGAGGGAGGAAACTAGAGACTAGAAGCCTTGAGAGGCAATTAGGGCTCATGGCAACAAACTCCCCCACAGGCAAGGACAATATCTGCTACTCTGAGCCAGAGAGAGTGAGGCTAATGAATTGATGTATTGACCAAAAGTAAGCAGACGCTTAAAGGACCCTTCGAGTACCAGAGCGACTGCTGCCAAGTTCCCCAGCTTACATCTTTCAAGGAGTTTTCCTGAGCTCTGTGTCTTGTCACCACGCAGGGGCTGGTGGCTGGTGGCTGGTGGCACAGCCTCTGCGCTTGGCCTGCCTGGGACTGTTTCCTCTTCACCCGTGACAGGCTCCATGGCCTTTCTGAGCCTCACCAGTGTCCCCACTGGTAGCCTGGCATATGAGAGCACGTAGTCATATGGGAAGACCCAATTGGATAATCCCCATAAAGGGACTGGCGTGGTACCTAGCACCTTATAAACACTAAATTTAAAAAAAAAAAAAAAAAAAACCTTAAAAATATTGCTGCTTTCGATTCAAATTTAATGTGATCCCCAGCTGAAGTCTATTAAATTTTATTCATTTCTCCCTTCGGGCTCTTAAAAAAAAAATCATTATTAAGGGTAATATTTAATGATAAAAGCAATACGTGTTCAACATGATAAAAAAAAACAAGATCAAATATATAAGAATATGAAGAACATGTAAAAGCTTTCAGTACTTCCCTGGTCTGGCTTCACATCCTGGCTCTGCCCATTACTGGCTCATCGGCCTTAAATAGCAAGTCACTTGACCTCTCAGGGCCTCCATTACCCTAGTGCCAAGTGGAGGTCATATCATCCCAACTTCTCGTAGCTGGGAGCGCGAAATGAGCTGGTCGCTACCGTCCAGGTGGGAAGCCCCAGTGGCACAAGGTGTACATGCCATGAAGCTACCCGCCAGAGGCGTCACTCTGTTCTCACCACTGTCATCGTGGACTTTCATGCAGGGTGCAAAGGAGAGGCCGGGCCGGATGGCAGGAGGGGCCAGGATGGCATGCCAGGGTCTCCTGGGCCTCCGGGACACAAAGGCGACATGGGAGAAGCCGGCTGCCCTGGAGCCCCAGGTAAAGAGTTTCGGCTTCTTGTCTTTGACACGGCAGATCTGAGAATGATACACAAGATCACCGGCCTCTCAAGCAGCTTTCCCAGTGGATCCTTTTAAAAGCGCTTGCCTTAGACACCAACTCACCAGGTATTAGGGAGACAGAAGCAACAAGAACAGGACAGGAGGTAAAACCCGTGTTCTAACTGATCATCATCATCGCGAGTCAAGGCTCGCTCTCCAGTTCAGTATTTTCCTAAACCTCCGCACGTGACCATGACAGGCTCAGCCATCTCGGCTGTTCGCTTTTCCTCGGGGAGCCTGGCCTTTTCCGTGTGCCCACCTCTGACAGGCTGTGCTGAAGCCCTTGGGGATGAATCCGCCTCTACACTGGTCAGTTCACTTGGCCTCTGGTTTTCTGAGTTCACCTCATCTTATGGTACAGCCATTGATAAAATCGTATGGCATGCAAGGCTCTTTCTTGAGAAAAAAAAAATGTGGCAGCGGGCATTGGGTGAGGAGAGAGAGAAGATTTTTTAGAATAGAAATTTGGAATACGAGGCACTGGCAATGAGTCAGGCAGCGGGGACCCAGAGACTCCAAGACGGTCAGCTTCCAGGAGGGCCGGCAACGCCTGGCTGCCAATGAGAAGGGTGAGGAGGGCCGGGCGGGTCCGCAGCAGAACGGAGCCCGCAGCCTGCGGCTCCGCTTCTGCCGGTCCATAGAAATGAGGGCCCGGTGTTCCCTGCGCTCTGCTCTTCAAGTCCAAGACCTTGACTTATGAAATCCTGACAGGTCAAACGAAACACAGGAAGCCCGATTCAGTCCACCAGCTGCCACTTCGTAACCTCTGGTTTACGGTGTGATGGGGAGAGACCCCCTAGCTTCCAGAAACAAGTTAAAAACAAAAAACAAAAAACAAACAAACCTTTTAGTTTCAAAGTCAAACTTCACCTTTTGCTCTTGGCAATTAGAATTAGTCCCAGGCCTTCTTCCAGAGACAGACCCTGCCCGCATTCTGCAGACCTGATCGGTTCCCACCTGCCAACAAGAATTCTAGAACCAGACCTTCCTTCCACCTCCCCACCGCCGCAGAGATCCGAGGTCATACACGTAGATCCCAAGCCGCTGTGCTTCTTCAGTGGCACTGACAGTTTGACAGTTTGCCAGGACCGGGCCCCAGGTCCGGGACATGTAAGAAACAGCAACTTTGAGAATCCCCGTTTGGGACGGGCAGGGTCCCGGTCCCGGTCCCGGCTGGCCCATCGCTCACGGGGCGGGTCATCGCCCTGTCCAGCTCGTACCTTCTCAGCGCCTGTCAGTGTCTAGCGTATTTCACACTTTACCTTTTCCTTTTCCTCTGCTCATCGTTTGGCATGCACTCTCGGAGGGCAGGGGCTTCTGTCTCTCTTCTGTATTTACGCTAACGTAGCCCCACCACCTGGACGTGGCTTGGAGCAAATCTTTGCCGAACGAGCTCCCTGTAAGGATCGCCGTGGTGTGAGGGGTCTTTCCGGGGGTGGACCGTGAGTGCTCTGCCCCCCGTGCCCGAGGGCTTCGCAGCGCAGCGGAACAGACATGCTCAGAAATGCGTGTTAAGCCGAAAGCCCTAAACTGCCTTCATTTTTTTTTTTTTTCCTTTGTTCCTTCAGGCCCTCCCGGGCCCGTCGGGGATCCTGGGCCCAAAGGGTTTGGCCCCGGATACCTCAGCGGCTTCCTCCTGGTTCTCCACAGCCAGACGGACGGAGAGCCCATCTGCCCCGTGGGCATGCCCCGGCTCTGGACCGGCTACAGTCTGTTATATCTGGAAGGACAGGAGAAAGCCCACAACCAGGATCTCGGTACGTACCGGGCACGTGGCCAGGCGCCCACATCCACTGCCGAAGGGTGGAACTTCTGGGTTGATTTTATGGATTCACGAACGTCTTAAATGATCACTCGTCTTTCAGGGGATTTCTTTCTTTTTAAACCACCATACGAATTCTATTAAGCCCGTGAGGTACCTCACAGGCTCATGCTGGCTGCCTTTATTATTATCTGGCTATTTACTTTTAAAGAATGATTCTCAGTGATTCTATGGGAAACGTAACTCTGATATAAAAGGCATTTTTTTTATTTGCAAATGTGAATGATTTAATCAGGACATGGTTAGTGCCTGTGTTTATATGTAAACGGTGCATCAGCAGCACCTTGATGATTAGGATGTGGCATTAGCTGGCATTAGCCAGCACCAGCTCCCCACCCTACTCCAATTTCGTTCTAAATTACAGAACTTTATTTTGAGTCGTCCTAGGTACTCCTTGTCAATTTTCAACAGTAGATTTGTAAGACTGATTTTAAGCCAAGAGTTTAAGTGCCATCTTTCTAAGGTAATGATGATTGGGTGGGGGGCACAGAAGGATATACCAACAGGGATGGCTGACGGTGAGGTGAGTTTCGTCACTGCTCTCACAGGGTCACGATCCCCTCTGTCAGTAAGGATGGCTGAAGGGCACAGGCCCGGGGCGGCAGCTGCTTATATGTCTCCCTGGGTTCAGCCATGGCCTTTCCCACGCGAGAGGGCTGGGGGAAATGAAGAAGCAACATTTCATATCTTGACTCTGTTTACCTCTCTTCACCCTCCCTTCTGCCATCAGTCTCTTTCCGGCCTGGTCTCTGCCCTGCCAGTCTGGCTTCTCCACCCCGGCCCAGCCACAGGACATGGCAAAGCTCTGCAGAGCTCTTGGGATAAAAATCCAAACTCCTTAATAAGATTGACAAAGCTCGCATCCTCTGGTCTGAGTGATATCTGGACGCCCTTGAGACACACAGGTCTCCTCCCGCACCGAACCCCCACTCAATTTCTCTGAGTTCTTTGTGCTCCACGCTGCCTTATTGTCTCTGGCCCTCTTTACTGCTGTCTCTTCTTTGAATAGTCTCCGCTATCTCCAAAGCTGGCCAAATTTCGTTCATATTTCAGGCCCTAGCTTCGCATCGCTTCCGTTGGTCATCCCTCCCTTAGGTCCCAGGGCCCCGCACTCCTCATTCACACAGGGCTCGTCACGCTGTGTTTTCGTGGCCTGTTTGCTCCTCTAGCTTCCCCACCAGGCCCGGCCGTGACCTGACAGAAGACAGACAGGCGTGCTCAGCGCGCCACCTCCTGCACCTGGCTGATCGGTGGCTCATGAGTGATGAATGCATGAGGGAACGAGGGCTGGTCGCAGGACCAGGGAGGTGGCAGAGATGGTCAGGCACATACTCAGCTTCCAGCACCATGGAGGAGACTTCAGGAGGGGCCTTCCTAGTCCAGAGCGTGTGTCTGCAGAGTGTGCGTCTGCAGGTGGCACACGCAGGAAGCTCTCTGGGCCCGTCACGACAGGCTGCTCACCTGCCACGTTGTCTCTTTTCCCTTCCCAAGGTCTGGCGGGGTCTTGCCTCCCCGTGTTTAGCACTCTGCCCTTCGCCTACTGCAACATCCACCAAGTGTGCCACTATGCCCGGAGAAACGACAGATCCTACTGGCTGGCCAGCGCCGCGCCCCTGCCCATGATGCCGCTCTCGGAGGAGGACATCCGCCCGTACATCAGCCGCTGTGCCGTGTGCGAGGCCCCGGCTCAGGCGGTGGCAGTACACAGCCAGGACCAGTCCATACCCCCATGTCCACAGGCCTGGAGGAGCCTCTGGATTGGCTACTCCTTCCTGATGGTGAGCCCCTGCACCCCCGCCACTCTCACCCACCTCTCTGCCCCTTCCCTCTGGACTGGACGGTGATTCTGTGGCCTCCGTGCAGATAGACAGCAGTAGGACATGAGGTCGTAAAGGCCACAGCAAACCGCAGCCCGTTGAGATGCAGGGCCTTTCCTCTTTCTCATTGTCAGTTAGGTTTTTTTATTACTCCGGTTGAACTTAGAAGATAGAATTGCTTGAGCCGTCGGCGAGAGTGGTTGAAGCGTGTGTGCCCACCCTGCTCGGCTCTCGCTTCTCCCGGCCTCAGCAGAGTGTAGTCTGTTCTTCGTGGAATAATCTTGGGGAAGTGACAGTCAGGCCCAGACTTTGTTGTGTTGCCGATTGGGTCTGGGGTTGCCCGTGCAGGTCTGAGCCTTAACTCTCTCTTGTTGTCCTGGTAGCACACAGGAGCTGGGGACCAAGGAGGAGGGCAGGCCCTCATGTCACCTGGCAGCTGCCTGGAGGACTTCAGAGCAGCCCCGTTCCTCGAATGCCAAGGTCGGCAAGGAACTTGCCATTTCTTTGCAAATGAGTACAGCTTCTGGCTGACAGCAGTGAAGCCACAATTGCAGTTTTCTGCGGCGCCGTCACCAGACACCTTAAAAGAAAGCCAGGCTCAGCGCCAGAAAATCAGCAGGTGCCAGGTCTGCGTGAAGATGAGCTAGAGAACCCACAACTTGCCCACGTGTCGCCAAGAGAAGCTTCCTAGGGGGCTGAGGCGTCCTCGGCTGTGCTACAAGATTTAATGGTGCTCGTTTCGGATTCCGGTTACAGCTGTTCCTTCTGTTTCAATGTGGTTCCTCCCACAGTACTGTAACCTTTTCCTCTATGTTGGACAGGATGAGCAAATGCTACACGTATGGATTCGTTTGGACCTACCGATCTAGATGAAACCCATATATTCTTATTTTATTGAGGATGGTGGAAGAGCTGGCTTTATTTAAAAATATGCTAATTCACAGGAAGGCAAATAGATGAATAAGGCCAGATTACAGATTACATTACTGAAAACTCCATTCATTGGTCAATAGCACCTCAAACAATTGAAGTCAATTGCTCGGTCATACGTTGGGCTTCTGGATGGATTTTACAGGAAACACTAAATAGGCCAACCAAGGAGACTAGAAAGTAGAGATTTCCAACATTTCAAAATGATTTCCTCTGTAATCTATTTTTCCATGCACTTTAAATAATTGTAAAACCATGACCCAAGGAGATTTAAAAAAGAAGAAAGAAAAGAAATCCACACAGCCAGAGTTAACAGTTCTTTTCAAAACAGAATAAATCATCGTGTCAGAAAGGATCACAGTCTCGGGTATTCCAGAGACGTGGCATTAGCATAAACACATCACAGATGCACGTGAAACATTATGTTCTCTTCTGCATTTTTCGGAGAATAGAAATGCCCACTTCGGCAGCCCTTTTAAAAAGTAGCAATTAGGGAAAAAATATATTCAATCAGGGATTAAGAGCCTAAAAGCTATTAATGAATATTAAGGCAGTGATTCACAAAAATTGACTCCCCATCGCAGTGAACTTCCAAACAGACTGCTTTTCCCCAGTCGGGGTCCAGCCTGTCTTTGGTGTGTGCGTGCTAATGGGACTGAAGCCACCTGGGGCTTCCTCTGGCGGGCACACGGCTCATACAAAGCACCTCGCTCCCCTCCACAGCAGAGCCTGCAGAGCCGCCTAGCAACACACTGTGGAGTCTCTTTCCACACACATAACAGCATCTCATACAGGGAAGTGACAGAGCTATCATTATGCACTTGGGAGAAAATTAAGGGCCGACTTAATTAAACTAAGGTAAGAAGATTCATTTAAGTCATGGTCATCCCACCAGGAAGACATGGCACTATCTTTAACCGAAACAAAGACAACCCACAATTTGAATTATACGTTCCTCTTACTGGTTCTTGTAGGAGCATCCTGTTTTTCCAACTTAAAATATTTTTATATTTTATATCAGTATTATCCCAAGGCAGCAGTTTGACATTTGGCATTAATATTTTCTAGAAGAGTTTAGATGCCATACCAGTTTATTCAGTAGTTTTCTGAATAGCAAAGGTATGTTTCCTATTTTGCTAGAAATTCAGTTGTCTGATCCTAAAAATCAAAAGGCTTATTGGAAAAGATTTTTAGGAAACTTTCCTTCCTCATTTTAAAAAAGTGTCATTTTAGAGAAAACCAAAAAAAAATTTCTCATAAGTGATACTCATTTTAGTGCTTCGTCTCAATGCACTTAAAAATAATTGAGAGAAGAAAAACTCAATTAAAACTTTGTTTATAAGAAATATTTTTCTTGCTAAACTTTAATTAGGGATGTGTTCTTATATGCAGAACACATTTCAAAAGAGTCTTGTGATGGGCTGCCCCTGGATGGCAATATATTTTAAGAATACTTTCTGGTAAAAAGAAAAATGTACATTTTGCGATGAAATATTTTCTTGATGTACCTAGTTCATCTGATCCATTTTTTGAAACCATGCTACGGCATATCACATATTATTGAGCACCTGAAATTTAAGCCAATTTCAATCTTATTTATAATTATACTTTTCTGCTTCCAAAAGCTTTATCGTATATTACCAAAACTCAAGCCTTTTAAAAATTCATCTCGTTCATTCATCAACTTGGTCTGAGAACATTTTCTGGGAAGAGGTAGGGTGAAAAATGAAACATAAGAAACATATCTTGCTTGCTAAAAAGTGTTTTAAACGCTTTAGCTTTGGTATTAGAATAGTATCTTAATAAGCTTGCCAAATAAATTTTAAAAAACAGGCTGAATTAAGTGGGCACTGTGTTCCACAGCGAGCCTGGTGTATGAGACTGCTCAAAATACTGGTATCACAAGAACCCTCTCGAAATGCAGCACAAACGCTGCCTTCTGGTTTTGAAAATGTGTTTTAAATGATCTAAAGGGCAAAACAATGGAAAAAATAACTTCTTGGAATAGAAGACCGTGTTATTTTAAGCCATTATTTTCTTCCCCTGGTTACATATTAATGTACTTGGAAATAGTCTGTGTCTGTGAAAGGTGAACCAAGCTTTCAAGTGGTTCTCCCAATCCATCATGGGTGGTAATTCTTATCGAAAGCTCCTTCCCAAGACCCTGTCTCTCACTTTGTGGGCTGGAATCCGTCTGATTCC